GGCGGCGGTCGTGCACGCCCGCGATTGGAGGGTGCTGACGCTCGTCTCGGCGCGGCGGCCAATCAGGGGGAGGCTTGCTGTGGGCGGGGCTTATTTATATGGGTGGGGGTACTTAGCGGGAGTTTGTAGCGCGGGGGCGGCAAGCAGAGCCGTAGGGATAATAGGGAGCAGCAAGCAGAGCAGGGAGGATTTCTGGGAATAGATTATCACTTGTGTCTTCCTCACATCCGAGTTTGGGGCTCAGAGCTTTTCCCCCCAAGTTTTGGGGGGGGGGTTTAAATGAGAAAGCTGAAGTGCTGCCTTGTGTCGCTGCCAGGCGTGTGCTGCGCCGCTGCCGACTCTGATAGGGATTAACACAAGCAGATCAGCTCAATTAGACCCGCGGCCCTAACAGCAGGATGGCGCCGTCCCGGCTTTGAGACTGCTGGGCATCCAGCTGAGCCCGAGGCAATCCCTATGGCGGGGCGTACCTATTTGCTTTAAACATGTCAACGTCCATTGTGACAAAAAGCGGGAGAATAATCTGTGGAGCGATGAAAGGGTTGGCGAATGCAGCTCTTCATCAAGAACGCAACACAAACATACGCTTAATGACACTGCGCCTCATTACAGAATAGCGATGGGGATTAGAGTCCGTCGGCACCTCCGTACGTGTTGTATGTGGTAGGAAGCACGCTTGTAATCTGCCGTGGCGTCGGATCCTATCGAATCGGATCTCGTACGCGGCAGTGGTAGGAATGCCTGGGGTCGAGTCCTGGCAACCTGCTTTGTTGCGAGGGTTTCCAACTTTATAAGATGAGGGGACGACCCTTGTCTATCCGCAGGAGTGCTGGGGGTGGGGGGAATAGGTCACTATTTGCAATTTAACTAACGATGCTTCTTAATTCAAAATCCTTGCAATGGCAGTGAGCAGGTGCCTTGTCAAGGGGGAAGCAAGATTGAGCACTGGGCGTGCAGGCCGCAATGACCGAGATACAGAGGGTTAGCCAGGCAGGACCAGCGTATGCTTTTGACTGAGGGCTGTGATGCGCGTGCCCGCGTTGCGCTTCATGTGCAGTGCTGCCACGTGGCGATCTGCGTGTTGGTACGTGTAGGAAGCCCAGTGGTTGCTTTCCTAGCCGTGCCATCCTTTGGACTCCCAACCTGCAGATCACACGAAGTATCTGACACAGGTGCAGAAGTTGAGAACAGTTTGTATGGCCATGATTCCCAAAACGAGCGCGCTAGAAGTCACTCTGCGTAGGCCGCTTGCATCAGTACAGAAGCATGAGCTCAAAGCTGAATTACAAACGCATTTTCATTGCCAGTAGTTGTATTCTGTTATAATCTGTGAGAGTTTTATATAGTGGAATAGTCCACTTCTTTATTCCAGCCCCCGCTACCATATACTGCTCTTCGTGCAGAGGAGGGAATCCCTTTTCCAGCCACTAGATGACAGTCGTTCATTTTGCTTCTTTCTACAGTTTTCTGGCCTTGATCCGCATTTCTGCAATTAGATGCTCTGAGCACAGAAGGCATTATAAGGCTGAGAGAAGCTCCAGTCCACCTTAGGGGTTGTTAGCATTGGGTAAAAATTGTCTGGATGCCATTTTGCTGTGAGGATATTTGAAAATCTGCTCCTGAAGAGATGCGTTTCCCATTTGGGGAAAGCATACCGTTAGGTTAAAGTTTGAATAGTTTGTAACTTCACATTTGTGTCACTAGGCAGGCCAGGAACTAAAGAGTTCTCTCTATTGGCTTCCTGGGTATCAGCTTTTCATCGCAAGGTGTTAGAAGGCAATTATATCTTTGCAAAACTGGAAGAAATTATTCCCTCCTGAATCCGTCAGGCTTGCAAATGGTATTTCAGGGAAGCTGGAGAGCCTCCAAAGTAAAGCTGCCGTCTTTGGAGAGCCACTGCACATTGTTGGGGAGTGTGAAGGGCCTTTAAACTGGTAGACAAAGGCATTTCAAGAATGACAGGAATGTGTCGACATCGCTTAAGGAAAGGTGCATTTTTCTAGGCAAGAATCCTACTGTCAGAAGAAGCCATGCACTGTAAAGTAAGAGATCTAAAGCATGTGATTTTGAACAATTAACAGATGGGCTAATAAAAGAGCAAAAATGATCAGGGCTGTAGCTGTTAACAGACAAAGCAAGGTTATAGTGAGAAATAGTTTTGACAATCCCAGAGGTTGGTGGCTGCATGCTGGAAATAGTACCTTCCCAAATGCAAGCATTAGCAAGTAGTGAAAGAAAGGAAATGCTTTTTATGCATTTTTAATCAAAGACAGGGTGCACCCGGTAGTAAAAGGCAAAGGCCAGATTTGCAATGAGTGGAGGCAAACACAACACAATCAAAAAGCCACTGCATCTCTTATGCCGGTGCATAAAACTAAGCCAGCAATTTATTTATTTTTTGCAGCAGTATCAGTTCTTTCCATCCAAATCCAAAAGAAATATTAAAGAAAAGCACTGCCACAAATAGATGGCAGGAGAACAAAGCTCTGACGAGGGTGCAGAAACAGGCCTTTGTTAGCACTCTTAATAAGCAAACAAAGCAAGCTTCTGTAACAGATTGGGTTGTGGCACTGGGAATAAAAAAAGAGAGAGAGATCTTCTAAAGCAGTCTGGGAGCTGAATGCTGTGGACTCACGGCAAGCAGGCACAGAATCACTAGTGATGTTCGATTTCAACATCTGGAAACTAGGCCTGTTTCATATAGCGGGTCCCAAATGAGTGCATGTGGCAAAGCCAAGCTTGGAACAACCGAGCAGAACATGAAAGAATGGAACAAGAAGTTCCTTGCGAGGAGGAAAAAAAGCTCTGTCTTCTTCCACTCGCTGTCAGCACAATTTGCCAGTCAGCTGCAAGCTGCTTTTGATTTGTGGAGCCCTCCAAAGGCAGCAAAGACCCAGAGGGGCGGGACGAATTGGAAAGTAAAATCCACTAACCTTGAAAACTTAACTATTCGCGCTGCATTTCAACTTCTTTGATGCAACTGCCACTGATCCAAGTTATGAAAGAGATACCAGTGCCATTACCTGGTGAAATTGTCTGGAAGCAGGGCCACTTGTTTGCGAGAGCGTGTATCTGTGCTCAAGAGCCATCTGCTTTCCCCAGGAAGAAAATAGTTTCATTTTCAAAAATCAATGGGCACAGAAACCTTGCCAGTAATGCATGACTTTAAGGGTGAAAGGCAGTCATTGCTCAGGAATCTTAACCCCCAACTCCCATGTCTCTAAAATTGTGGATGGGACCCAACATGACCAATGGGTTTGCTACAGAATTTCACCAGGGAGCCTGGAAACTTGAGGAACCCCAATATATAAGCCCTGGTTTCTAGTTCTGTGGCTCCCTGAGCTTGCCATCATTTCCATGCTGTTCAGAAAACTTGGTAATCGGGGATACTGTATCTCACAAAGCCTAAGAGGAATGCCAGACTAAGCATCTCTTTCTGCAAGCATTTGTCTCCGCTCTGCCCTTGAAGCTAATGCAGAGTTGCTGACTCTATAATAAGTAGACGTTTTGGACTTGCTGCCACTTACACTTGACTAATGTGACTCCATGCCTGGTAATTCGGAAATATATTAAACCCATGAGCTGCTGTTAGTGCTGATGATTTGCATGTCAGGGAAGGTAGGGAAATAGCCGTCCACCCCCTCCTCTGAGACGGCTTTGAGCCTGTGAACATTCACGGATCCCGTTCATTTCATTGGCGATCATCAGTTCCTCAGGGCTAGATTACACTGCTGCTTCCTCACCGTTCCCTTTCTGGTAGTTTTGTCCCATGGGGGGGGGTGATGATCAGTGCATTGACGATCACAAGGATATGGGGTCAAGACTGCTCTCAGCCCTCGTTTATCATGCAAGCTGCCCTGGACAACACGGACCACCAAAGCCACTGTGTCTTGGACACCCTGTAAGAGCAATGATGGAGAGTTGAAGGAGAGTTGGCAGATAGCAAAGGGCCATCAGAGAGGGCACAAAGCAGGATGGGTATTCCTCCATGGGAAACAAGGAGGAGGCTCAACTCCCCCCTTCTTGGCCAGTGCTACAGCAGCTGCTGAGTCTTGCCCTGCAGAGCTGTCCTGGACAGTCAAAACCAACCAGTTTCAGACCCTGGCACAGTTTGCTACAAGGAGCTTTTAGCCTGCCTGGCATACGATGTCTCCCAGATACGGGACGGCTCCTCAACATCCCAGTGACAGGGCATCGGTTATGGATGTTTTAGCTCCGAGCTCAGGACTCATTGCATGAAAGGCTTTGCAAGCAATTTAAGACAAAGCCAGCCCTTGCCTTCAAACACTTACAGTCTAGGGCCTGGACCAGAAGGGGTAAAAACAGGTAACAGGATGGTGGTAGAGCACGAGCCTGTGGTAGAACAGCACCTTTCTGCATCAGGATCTCAGCTCGCCTCCTTGAGGTGATGGCAGC